TTTAGGGTTGAATGAAATAAGATGAGGGCTCTGTATCAGTCAGGACAGGTTAGGTTATGCTGCAATGACAAACAACTCCCTATCTTACTGCCTCCAATTTGTGGAGGGTTATTTCTCATGCGGGGAGATTGCAATGTGCTCTGGGTGACCCTCCTGAGCTGTCATCTCCTATGTCAGGAATCAGTAATGGGTCCAGGGCTCTCTGGTTTTCACAAATAAGGTTTCTCAACAGATGAGCTCCTCTATTTGTGCATAGTCTATGGTGGTCTTGTGTGACCATTACAGGAGGCTCAGCTCACTCCCGGAGGCTTGGATGGCCCTGAGGAGGCTCAGATCATACCGAAGAGGCTTAGGTTACCCTGAGGAGGCTCAGGTCAAGGAGGCTCAGCTCCCTCATGCTCACACCCTATCAGACAGCACAAGGCAGAAGACTAACTTCAGCTGTGTTGTGGTTCTCTTTCCGACGCGTCCCTCAGAGTTCCCACGTGGGAAACTTTGTCCCTGGTACAGCAGAGCCGGGGTGATCGGGGTGACTCGTGCTGCTGAGGAAGTGGATGACTTTCTTCCAGAGCAGAGTTGTCATGAAGCCAAGTGCAGCCCTCCCTGTCCCCTGCTCTCCCACTCCCTGGCCCAGGCTCTGGCATGGGACAGTGGCCGGATGCTATGCCAGAACTGTGGGGCTATCGCGTGGCCTCAGGCATTCTGTCACAGCAGCAGGACGCAGATCAAGACAGCCTGCGAGGGGAGTGCTGTCCCTGGGTGTAGGGCTGAGGGGCACTGGCCGCCAGGGAACGGAAGGCGTGAGGGTCACACTGGTTTCTCCTACCAGTGTGGATTCCAAAGATGGCCTCAGGTGGTCCTGGCACGGGGCCCTGATACAGCCGTGCTACTGCCCATGGACGCAGGCACAGCCCAGGAGGGATGGGAGAAATGCCGCTGCCCGTATGGGTCCTTGTTCTCCAGGGGAGGAGGATGTGTAAGTTGGGAGAGGTGAGTGCCTCGCCCTGGTGGAGAGGCCTGCAGTGGAGGACATGTCCCAGCCCAGCAAGCACCCCTCTTCCTCCCAGCTCTCTCCAGGCTGCTCCACCTCAGTGGGGCAGGGCCAGGGCCCCGTGTCACCAAGTGTGAGGCAGGGAAGCAGATAAGACGGCCACAGGGCCCAGGAGAGCAGAGACGCGGAGCCAGAAGACATGGAGGACTAACAGGAAGGACAGACAGAGGGACCCAGTGGGGACCAGGGAGATATGGATAGAGACAGAGGGAGGGACAGACAGAGGGGCCCAGTGGGGACCAGGGAGAGACAGAAGGAGGGACAGAGAGAGAGGGAGATGGAGACGGAGAGACAGAGGAAGGACAGATAGAGGGACCCAGTGGGGACCAGGGAGAGATGGAGAGAGACAGAGAGACAAGAGGGAGGGGAGGGATACCACGGTCTAGGGACCCGCGGCTGTCACTTACACTGATGGGCCATTGCTGGCTGGCCTGGGTGCCTGGGAGGGGGGCTGTGGTTCACCTGCTCATGCGGCATGTCCCCAGGGCACTGCCTGTGTGCCCTACCAAAGTCTAAGCAGGACGCTACGGGGAGGCCCCTGTGGAAGGCAGTGCAGAATGGGAGCAGGACCCCCTTTCCTGGACCCTGGGCTGGGAGCAGGGGCAGGGGGCCTCCTGCTGTGGCCTCATGGAACCCTCTGCAGCTGCTCTTGGGGAGCCCGTCAGCCCTTCATCAAGAGCTTAGGAAGGTGGTCAGTGTCTGGCCTGGTTAGAGCAGAACCTACTTACAGCCAGGTAATTTTAAGCTTTTTTAAAACCAGCCAAAAGCGCGTAGGAAATCCTTTGCACTGATTCCCACTGCGTGCTGTTTGCTGGAATGTTGGCGGGGTCGGGGGCGTCCTACGAAGGCCTGCTCCGTTCCAGTTTCCCGTTTGTATTAGCACTATGACCTCGCTGGAGGACGCTCTGTTGGCGGTGTGCAGAAGCCATCTCAGGGCCAGTGGCGTGGCCCTCACTGCCGTGGGAAGTTCCTGGGCCGGGGCTTGCTCATCCCACACACCCACGCTCCCTGGAAACGCTCGCATCTGGCTGTGAGACTCTGGGGCGCTCTGCGTCCTTGCTGGCCTTGACCAAACCCCGAGCACTGTGCCCTTCCTTCTCCCAGCCTCTGCTTTCTCAGGGAAATGCGATCCGCATGTGTCTGACTCATCCACACTGTGCTCCCCTGTGCGTGCCGCGTGGTGAAGGCTGCTGGTGCCCTGGGAACTGCAGATGGCCACAGACTTGATGCGGCACTGGGACACTGGGGCTGTCCTATCCAGAGTCAGACCAGGATGCTTCCTGCTGTGGTTAAACCCAGACACCCATCACCCTGGACACACCTACATGTATCCTCTCTTTCCTGAGATGTGGGTGATATCTTAGGGTGTAACGGGGAAACAGGCGGACCTCTTCACCCCAGATCCCACTTCCCTTTCCTTTAAGGTAGCTCCGGGGTGCTCCCCTCGGCCTGAAGGTCCAGCCTGGCCTTGGGTTCTAGAGTGTGCTTCTGTCCCCAGGGGCACCTGCCCTCTGCTTGGGGAAGCCTGGCCTGCATCATCAATGAAGGATTGACACTCTGGGATGCCCATGCGGCCCTTCACCTGGAGCACCAACCCCTGCGCTTGATCCCTCCTGCCATGGCATGTTGAAGTGGACACCCGGGGAGCACTCTGGGGCTTCCCTGGGGGTTGATGCCACCTGGCCCCACATGCCTTTGGACACCTGCCCGAGGCTGTGCCAGGAGGAGGCTGTGCCAGGAGGAGGCTGTGCTGGCAGCATGACTGCCCCAGGCAGCAACAAGAGCCACATCCTGGTGGAACCGCTGTGCTCAGGTCTTGGAGAAGTGCACACATGTTCTAGAAACTTCCCCCACGTGGACCAGAACAACTGGCCAAAACACCTCCAAATTCAAGTCACCCTAACATGCCACTACCTCCACCATGGACAAGAAGAGGATCAGACTCCACTTATTAATGGCTTTCCAGGAGGCAGGGACCCGGCACACGAGGTCTTTAAGCTCAAGGTCGGTGTCGTTCGAGGGTGGATCATGCAGCTGAGGATGGTGGAGTCCACAGAGGTGATCAGGGCTGGGTCCCTCGAGGGGCAGGACACCCTGAGAGAGAAGGAGAAGCCTTGTCCACACACACACACACACACAAACACACGTACTCGCACACATATGTGCTTGCACACACATGCACTTGCATGCACACATACACATGCCCACATGTGCATACACATGCATGCACACCCGCACACAAGCGTACACACATGTACATGCACACACACGCACACACATGTGCACACATGTGTACTTGCACACACATGCACACACACTGTATGTGTGCACACACATGCCCTCACACACATGCACTTGCACACATGTGCACACATATGCACACACATATGCACACACACACACACTCCTTTTCTCTTGCCAGGGGACACCCTCACTGCCTCTGGGCTCTGCCAGCAAGAAGGCCATCACTAGATGCAGGCCCTTGACCTCTGACCTCAGACCAGAACTGTGAGCCAAAACAAACCTCTTTTCTTCATAAGTCACCAGTCTGCGGTGTTGTTATTAGCAACAGAAAATGGACTAACACAGGGCCGGTCCGTGGCCCTCCTGCTGGGGGTGAGTGTGGAGGCCCTGCAGGACAGCCCGTCCTCCTGCCTTGGACCTGCTGGAGGGACAGATGTTCAGATGCTCCAGGAGCGCAAATCACAAGACAGGCTTCTGCACATTTTCAGCCCTCTAGGATGGGTGTGGGTTTCCGAAGAAGACAAAGAGCTGATCTTAACCCTGGATAAACCAAGGGAAGGGACCATGAATATTTCCAGCCCAATTATCTATCAATAGTAAAATAACTTGCAGGACAATTCATGGCCTGTGTGAGGTGCTGGGAGAGCCCTGGG